GGTCTGTGTGCATTGCATGAATATAATGTACAAGTTTCACGTTTTGAATGGAATTACTGAAATATTTTCAACCTTTTGATGATATTCTAATTTACTGGCCAGCACCTGTACGGTCACCATAGTCCTCATAAACCCGGACACAGAGTTCTCTCCTTCCTCGCTGATGATCCCGACATGCTTGCGTTTAAGACGCTGCATCATCCCGTGCCATGCTAAGTCTGACCTAAACGTTGCAGGTAACGCATGTCTTCGCCTGATTTAACTGAAAATGCTCCCAAACTTAAAAAGCTTTTACTTTTTTGACTCTCGCTGCTTCTGCCATGTTCCTCTTCCAAACAACTGCCGGCTCTCCCTCGCGCTGATCTGTCTGCGCGCAACGGCGGGCGGGAAGGGGGGCACTTTTGGAAGAGTTGTGCGACACAACGAATTGATGACGCAATTCGTTGCCAACGCTTTTAGTAATCGATTTTCATCGAATTTATCGATTCGTTGTTGCAGCCCTACCTGCTAACACCTGTAGTTCCAGCGTGCAGCTCCAGGCCTGCAGGAGAACTGGAAATGCCAATGTTTTACAGTCTGTTGGCAATTTCTCGTTTTTATTTGCATGTCTGTCTTCGTTGCATTTTTGTCTGAGTTTGCTGTAAACTGGGACTGTTGGTGGCAAACTAGGAGGTAATGGAGACTGGTGATTCATTTTTTTGATGCCTGAAGGGAATAGCCAAAATAATCCAGACTCGTAGAAACAACCCAGACTCCAGGTCGCCGCAGCGGCTCTGCCCCACACAGCTGCAGACATCCACAAATAAACAGGATAGTGGGGATTTTTCTTCCACTTGTAGAGTTTAGTCATTCACAACCATCATGTTTTTCCTGAACCCCACTTAAATTTGAGCATGCTATGCATTAGCATTAGCCATATTTTCACTCTTGATCCCAAACTGTAGGAGCATTTCTACCTTTTACAATAGTTTGTGCCTTTGCTGGTTTCTCTATTTTCCTCCTCAGCACCTTGATTACCAAAAGTTAAAGTAGTCTTTTTGAAGGCAACGCATCATGGAGCTGTGTCCTTTCCAGCATGTTGAATACCCAGGATGCTCATGTTTCAAGTGTCTGTAGCTCTGCCTTTACAGTCTGGTTTAAAATACCACCAAGGTGAAGATCTTTTAGCTCTCCTGAGGAGACATGTTAGCCTCCTTGCTAACAGCTGCACCTTGGTGTCTCAGTCCCTGCCTGCTGTAAATTGTGTGAAGTTATGTGTTATTGCCGTACAAGAAACAAGTAATATTGATGTTGAGGGAGTTATTGAATTTAAACCTAAGCCATTTTTATCTATTAGAAAATCTCTATTTCAATATGAATTTAAAAAGGCATGTTTGCTGTTTTATAAGGGTAAATCTGATTTATTTCTCCCAATCTTTTTCAAATCTTGTGACCGGCCCGATTTCTGATTCTGATCACACATTGAGTTCAGAAACAACCTGCACTCATTTCCCTTTGTGGCACAAAAACTCACCTCACTGGTGCAGATCGTCAGAATAAGAGCTCTGGAACCCTTTTTGATGATCAAACCTTCTCACTGCTGTTTGTTATTGTTTTGGTCCATCATGGATCGTGAACTAGAGATGTGATTAGATGCACTGCTGCGTGTGCGATGTTTGTTTTGTATTTCTAGACTGAGTTCTGAAGGTGTGAGCAAAATAACGTCCTCTGCAACATGCACAACTCCGATCCTGCGGTTAACAGCTAAAACAGCACTAGTCTCAAGTTAAACATAAAAAAGCAGAATACATTTAATTGATCACCTGAAGTAGAAGCTTAGTTCTGGATGACTCATATGTCATGGTGCCATATCAGCCTGTATTATGGGCCCATTCCCAATGCTGTGCCCTGTGGTCTTCAGCAAAGTACACTTAGAGAGAGTGCGCAGTAAGGCTTTGCCAAATTGAGAAAAGGAGCATTGAGTTATCGATTGCAATGCATGCTGGGATGCTGGTCACTGTGTTACTTTTAAAAAAGAAAACTAACAATTTTCAAACAAACAAGCATACAATTAGTTGAAATAATACTACATTTGTTGCTGTTTTGTCTTAAAGTTTTAGAGCAACAACTAATCGTCCTAAAATTAACTACTTTCATTAGAAAATACATATTTTCAGAAAAGGAACTTGAACCTGTTCTCCAGCAGCAATGGTTTTTGGGTAATACCTTTCACCCAAGTCCTCATTGATGCAGACTTGGGTGAAGTGTGGATCAAGGGCACAATAGGGGCGTGATCAACTTCTGTACTTGAGAATCAGGACACTCTACGCATTCACACCTTGGGATGGGTACCATAATCTGTACTTTTTGGTACCAAGGACCGAAACGGTGCCTTGTTTTGGTACCATAGTCTTTGGTACCTGATTTCCCAAGATAGACAGCAGCGCAAGAGCCTTATGTCATCAGTTGCTGCAGGCCAGCTGTAAACAGAATAAGCAGCAGGGTAGAAAGAATGTGCTCTAAAGTTTGGGTGCACTTCACCAAATGCGATGGGTAACTGGGTGATGAGGACAACATCCTAAGTGAGTTATCATCGTCTTAATCAGCTCCAGTGGGTAAATAATAGCGTTTAAGATAATGTTAGCTTGATATTTGAGCATCCGTTGCTATCAGCTAATGGTGCGTTGGTATCTATGGGGAGAAAAAAGTTTCAAAAGACCTGTGCATGTGTGTCTACATTTGTGCGTGTGTATCTATATTTGTGCGTGTTTATCTATATTTGTGTGTGTATCTATATTTGTTTGTGTTTATCTATATTTGTGCGTGTGTATCTATATTTGTGTGTGTGTGTGTGTGTGTGTGTGTGTGTGTGTGTGTGTGTGTGTGTGTGTGTGTGTGTATCTAGATTTGTGTGTGTGTAACTCTTGATTTGTAAGTTGTGTTTACATTTTCGTATGTAACTTCAGTTCTTACACATACAAATCATTGAGTATGCACACACAAATCACCTGGTAAACACAGACAAAACTACATTACACACAGATCAGTTTACAAGTACAAAAATCCTTTTGAGACTATATTCACCCCTGACGGATTTGTGCGTATATGGTGCGTTTCAATGCTCGGTGGAAGCTGGGAAATTCAAATTTCCTTTGGAATTAGTCTAGACTTGTGTTGACGGGACAAATATGTTTTTCTGTGGAAAAATAGAGTATCTCAGGATCCTGTAGTTATAAAAGTTAGACCTACATTTAATTTTTAATAATCTAAAATTGTTTATTTAGACGTATGTGTGTTTTTGAGCCATGAAAACATAGAGAAAGAGTTATAAGAAATTACTAATAAACGGCACAGTGGTTCTCTGTGTTTACCAGCTGATTTGTGTGTGTGTATTCAAGGATTTGTATGTGTAGGAGCGGAAGTTACACACGAAAATGTAAACACAGGTAACAAATTAAGAGTTACACACACACACACACACACACACACACACACACACACACACACACACGCACACACAAATCTTTTTTTACACACACACACACACACACACACACACACACACACACACACACACACACATTTAGATAGACATGTACTAATCTAGATACACACACAAAGACCTTTTGAGACTTTTTTTCCCCATAGGTGTCAAAGTTTTTTTTGTTTCATTTATAGTTTATTATACATGGTCTCCTCATCAGAGTTATTCCAGAGGGCCCAGAAGAGAAATCGGAGTGCATGGAGCTGGGTTTTAATAGGTATATCATTTAGAAACAGTTGTGTACATTTTTGTACAACACTGCGATGGTGAAATACAGTTTATCTGTCATGATATTTATAAAATATGGTTATATATTGAGAATATACTGTGTATATATATATTAATGTGAGTGAGTGAGTGAGTGAGTGAGTGAGTGAGTGAGTAAAAAAGAGAGGCAATTAATTGTTAAACACTCAAAAGTATCGAAAATTGGTACCGTTAAGAATCAGTATTGATTCTAAGTACCGGGAATTTGGTCCGAATCAATTGAAGTGTGAAAGGTAGCCATCCCTACTTGAACCACTGGTCGGGATTGCAGTTGAAGGGCGCAAGTGTGGAAGTGCGAGTATTGGGATTAGAAGCCGACCGAAATGTTTTTTTAAGTCTACAGATACAGATTCAGAAAGATTTTTGTTGCTGATGGCCGATATCTAAAAGTAATATTTGAATTGCTTTTATTTTCGATTTATTCATCATATTTAACTTTCTCATGTACCATGTTCAGCGCCTTGGGCTTCCCGACAGGGTCACGGAAGGCGCTTTATAAATAAAGCTTTGATTGATTGGTTGATTGATTGATTGATTGGTTGATTGATTGATTGATTGATTGATTGATTGATTGCCACACCACCCTTCCTTAAAACGAGGAACAGTTTTGAGCTGTGTGTGGCTTAAATATCCAGACATTCTGCATTTTTCCAATAGGACTACAAAAATCTTAGCGAGAAGAAAAAATGGCGGATTGGCTCTGTGTTTAGCCAGAGGGACATGACCATATTTGATAGTTATCGTGACGACATAAATTTCTGATGTATTAGGTATTTTGAAAAACTGAACGGGTGGACAAATATGCCCAAAACTTTATTATTTAATATCTAAATAGCAACTCTAGTGAATAATATAAGGTTTTATGCTCACTTAGACACTTAAAATGTGAAACACGCTGTGTTAATGGATAAAAAGTGGGGTTTTCATGTTATGTCTGCTTTAATATTTATTGAACTTCAAATATAAAACAAACTCAAAACACTTAAAAAAACTGTGTTGGGGTCCTTCAGGTCCTTTCTTCAGTCTAGTAGTGGCAGCATTAATTTGGGCCGATATAAAAAAAATGTATATATATATTTGGGATTGGGCCATAGTTAGTCATTCGTTAGCTGCATTTTCCAATCTTCTCATGACCCAGAGTGATGAAGAACTTCAGGTGTTAATGAGTGATCTGTTGGTTTTAAACATGAGTATGTCTGTGTGTCCACAGCGGCCAGCAGCAGTTGGCTTCAGGAGCACGTGGCTGATCTGAGTCGGAGGTAAGAACATGGTCCCAGTTTTCCTCAGCCGTCCTGTCTTTCTGCCTCCCTCCCTCCTTCATCAGCACATATCAGTTTTCAGGAGGAAAACAGGGAATCTGGTTACACTGACTCGACACATAAACACCCACCACTGGTAAAACTAACCCTCCTCTGCATCTGGACATCAGGGTGTGTGGCCATACGGGCCCAGATGGGCCTCCTCTGAGGTCGGAGGTCACTTAGTGTCTTTGGGGTTAAAGGCCAACAGATCAGCTCATTGATTGAACTTCTCAGAACTGCCTGGAAGATGATTTTCTTCTTTCTACAGTGATACAGAACACTAAGTCCAGAGGACAAAAGCTTTGAATCAAGACTCAAAGAGCTGCATGCTGAGCTAAAGTAGGGAGAAAGAGTTACACTGGCACCTGCCAGGTGAAAACTCACCTGATTGGCTAGTAGCATGTGGACAACCTTTATACAGGCCATTTATTTTTCTGTGATAATAAAACCATCTGTTAGCCATATTTAACCTCTCTGAACACAACAGACTTGTTTCTAACGAAACAGTAACAATAAATTTTATTGTCAGCAGTTGGAAATTTATATTGTTAGAGGAACACTAAGTAACTTTGTCGTATTGTTAAATCATTTTCTTGAGCCAGTAGGTGCTTGAATGACCCTTTACAGGGTGAATGAATAGTCTCTCAGCCCCCTCCGCTCCTTGTTGGCAGAGTACAACATTTGCAACTTGAGTCTCTCCACACCTGAAATCTCACAAAGTCCGGTAACTCACCAGAACAGCTTTACGGCAATCCATGTTTACACCTCAGAAAAGATGAGCTAGAGATGGTTAACATGTATTGTAACAGGTTTATCATAGCGGAGATTCTGAACAAAGAAAGAAAACATTTGTCTGATGAAGCTAAAACTACAAGAATGTCTGACCACTGTAGGATTCAAACAAGAGTCAACATCAGGAGTTTTCTGAATCATGAGAGCTCACATACAAATGACAATTCACATTGGATGCAGGACTTTCGATCATCCTATTGTGCTTGCTAGTATAACTTTTAGGAGTTTTGCACTAGTGTTGGCTTGGTCTGGGATAGGCTGGGTCATTATAGCTGGTTTTCCAATGGCACTACTCAGAGTACCTCAGATTATTGCAGCTCAGCCTGACCACATTTTCCAAGAGCAAGATTTGGTATTTTCCCTCTACTTTTTCACAATCTGTAGTCCCTGCTCCACTGAGGTACCTGGCAAGGCTGAGCCAGGCCAGCATCGTGACTGTGGCCGCTCATTGGCTATGGGGTGGAGTCACTGGTTGCTCTGGAGTTTTCTGCCTACTACTTCACTGCCTGCAGCCATTTATTTCCTGGTTCTGACAAAAGCTATAAAACGGAGCAGAATGTCAGTAATTCAACTAGACAGAGAGACTATATAACGGCTCAGGAAGTCTTTGCAGGTTTTTCTATTTGCAAAGATGCATTTTAGTTGATTTGGGTCTTGTTTCATATCACACAGTGACAAAGCTTTAGTTTACAGTAATAATATCCATGTCTAATGTTTGATTCTCTGCCTCATTATTTTTGATTAGAAAAATTGCTTTGAGGGCACATTTTCCCAAACGATTAAAATGTGATTAATTTAAATTAATTCATTACAAAACCTCTAATTAATTGGATTAATTTTTTAATCAAGTCCCACCCCTAGTTAAAATAAGTTTTTTGTTCCTGTTTAGTCAATAAAATATGATTTTATTGATTTTATTTGTCGGTTCTTTTGTTAACAAAGAATCTGAGGATGCTGTAGGTCAGATGGGGATTGGCCAAGGTCTCTGAACCTTGGGTTTTGTCCTGTGACCACCTCACCCTGATTGCCCTTACTTCTTCTGAGCATCTGTGTTGTGGTTATCAGATGTTGAGGTAAAAGTAAGCATTACCTCGGGCAGCCTGAAATCCTGCTCCTCAGTAACTCACTGATCTGTTCAGCTCTGGTTTCTGATTTCAGAGGTGGATTCTGTGAGAAGTAATTGCGCTTTAGCTTATAAACAAAGACATCTTTACAAATATGCTGATGCTTAGAATAGGAGTTTCCTTAATAAGATGAAGTGTTTAATACAGGTGAGGTCAGATGTCGTTGTATCAGGATGTCTGTGTTGCATCACCGTGGAAGTGAGACCAAATGTCCCTCTGCTGCAAATTTCAGGACACCTGATATTTATGGTTGGCAGCTGATATCTGGTACCAAAATATATCATATTCTAAATTCTGTTGATGCAAAGTCTTTCACACAAAGAACTGCAAACGTTTTCTAGCCTCTACCAAAAATCTCTTCTCTAGTCAGAAAGAAGAAAAGGCTTTGAATAGCAAAATCAGAGTGATGCTGTAACTCGGGAAAACTCAACTGTAAACGATGACAAAGTGACATGAAATTCAGAATTACGTCAGTGGGGTTTTTTTTCAGGCTTTTTCAGTCCTTGTATTTTATATCAAACTGTACGACTTTGTCACAGGGCAACGCCCACGAGGCTTACCGTAGTTGTAGAAGGACACAGGGGTTTTATGGGGGTTGGAGCAGAGACAAGAGTTCGAGGTTTCTGGATCTGTTTTTATTTGACATAAACCCAGTAAACACACTTTCTCGACAGACCTTTCCCATGTGTTTGGAGAACGATGTAAAACTACAAAGAGGTGACTTTTATGCAGTGTTGGGAGTAACGCGGTACTTAACTAAATACTGTAATGCATAACTTTTTGCTGTAATGTGGTAATGTAAGGCATTACAGGGAAAGGAAATGGCAATATTTACTTGGTACACTTGTCAGTAACGTGGTAATTACAATGCATTTATGAACCAGAATCAAGATGTGGGTTTCTTAAAAATTAAAATTGCGGGAAGCCCGAAAAAAGATCCAGTATCTACAAATATTACATCATTTATGGATTCAGCTTTGCCGTGAGCAGTGAGGACGCAGCGCGCAGTGATAATGACTCAAATACTCCAACTACATCCGGCGCACGGCCGCTGTAACATTCACAAAATTGCTCCACCAAAACAAAACAATTCACTTGCGTTCGTTCATATCAGCCCATATTCTCTGGTAATTTGTGTACTTTTCTGACGTGCTTTGCCTCAGCTGAGTTCATAATCTGTGCTCCGGGGATTTGAACTCATTGCCGCTGGAGCACAGCGCATGTTAAACTTTTTTTGTGTTCGGTAGATCCCTTTGGCTGATTAGTTAGAAAGTAGGAAATCTAGGAAACAGTTTTTCTGGAAGACTGGGAAAAGATGTAGCATGCAGGAAGGTTAGAGAGAGAAAGGGAAGGAAATTATTCAAATAAAATCAAGAAAAAAGAAATAAGTGCTTGAAAAGAAAAAAGTTGGTAGATTTAACCCTGATACACACTTTTACCAGTGAAAAGCAATAATATGTAAGCATTTCATATTTAAACATGTGATAGAATCAGATCACCCTCAAAAGTCAATCCCACGTCCAGGGCTGTATCAAGGCATTTGGGGACCGAGGCAAAATAGGCTTGGAGCCCCCACCACCTCACTCCCTGCTCAGTTAAAATCAGATGGCAGCATGCTGAGAGTACAGTTTGTTGTTGTATTTATTTAATAAACGATTATTTTAAAGAACTGTTATTAAATTGGACAGTTTTTAACAGCAATCCTAGCTCAGAAACCACGTCACTTTCCACTGGATATGTCATGAGTTCACTGAGCGTCAGATTACCAGATTCATGTAGAAGTTGTTTTGGTGAAAGTAAATTAAAGTAATGCAAAAGTAGTGTAATCCCTTACATTTTAAAATCAGTAATATTGCAATGTAATGAATTACTTTCTTTGAGGATAACAAGTAATAAATAATGCATTACAGTTTAGAAGTAACTTACCCAACACTGACTTGTACGGACACTGAAACACAGATGTGTTTGCACGTACACCCTGTGGCCGGTTCTGGTACATTTGGGTCGTAGTGTTGCTTCAATAGTCCCATATCCTCATGAGGGACGAACAGAATTTCAAACTTTTTAGATTTTGGTATGACTGTACGATTTCTGATCAGGAGTTGTATACCCTATACTACACAATGCAAAACTCACCTCGACCACAAGATCCTCACACACAAGGAGATCCAGCTCAAAACAGGCCAAAAATCACAGTGTACTCAGCTCAGACTAGCCATTAGCTCAGATTAGGTTCAGTTCCAAATGTCGTCCTCATGCTCCTGTATTTGATGGAACAGATTTTCTGCTGTGCTTTCCTAAAACGCACTTGTCAAGTGTGCAAGAGCGTACTAGTGTTCTTTGGTATTGAGGAGCCATTTGCTCAATCTAGCATCAGATTAGCTGTTATTTCATCAACCCTGAAGGACCTAAACTCTTTCTCTGAACAAAGTCCATTCTGGAGGGTAAAAGGGGAATTATTTAAAACTTTTTTCACAGAAACACACTTCAGCACAGCTGAAATCTCGTTTTAAAGCTTTTAATAAATAATCTATTTTTAAGGTGGAGGTTTGAAACGTCCTCCAACCATTTAAAGGGACTTTACGGAGTTTTGAATTGTTATGCTCGCGATTGCCCCCTCAGGCTAAATGCGTAACGGCAGCTTCAAAAGTAAGCTCGTGCACGAGGTGCGCATGCTGTACGTGCACACTCCTTAACGAAAATAACAGCTGAGACAGTCCCTTGTGTGTGTGTGTGTGGGGGGGGGGCAGAGTAAAGGAGAGCACGCAGCTAATTAATTAAATCATTTGGTTCTGTACCTTTTTCTTCAGCACAGCCGACAAAGGTTTATGATGGGTCAGTCTTCCTGCATGCTCAGATTATTCCCTTCCCTTACTTGAAAAATCGTTCCATAATGAAAGTTGAACCCACATCTTTTTTATCTGTGAATTGAATGCCGTTCGGCGAGTCTCAAATAAAAATTTGGGCATCTTACTGTAAAAAAATATATCATTAATGTAAAAGAGAAACTCTAAAACAACTATGTCACATCCAGAATCGAAC